TACTGTGAAACATGGGGGTGGAAACATCATGCTTTGGGGCTGTTTTTCTGCAAAGGGACCAGGACGACTGATCCGTGTAAAGGAAAGAATGAATGGGGCCATGTATCGTGAGATTTTGAGTGACAACCTCCTTCCATCAGCAAGGGCATTGAAGATGAAACGTGGCTGGGTCTTTCAGCATGACAATGATCCCAAACACACCGCCCGGGCAACGAAGGAGTGGCTTCGTAAGAAGCATTTCAAGGTCTTGGAGTGGCCTAGCCAGTCTCCAGATCTCAACCCCATAGAAAATCTTTGGAGGGAGTTGAAAGTCCGTGTTGCCCAGCGACAGCCCCAAAACATCACTGCTCTAGAGGAGATCTGCATGGAGGAATGGGCCAAAATACCAGCAACAGTGTGTGAAAACATTATGAAGACTTACAGAAAACGTTTGACCTCTGTCATTGCCAACAAAGGGTATATAACAAAGTATTGAGATGAACTTTTGTTATTGACCAAATACTTATTTTCCACCATAATTTGCAAATAAATTCTTTAAAAATCAGACAATGTGATTTTCTGGATTTTTTTTTCTCATTTTGTCTCTCATAGTTGAGGTATACCTAGGATGAAAATTACAGGCCTCTCATCTTTTTAAGTGGGAGAACTTGCACAATTGGTGGCTGACTAAATACTTTTTTGCCCCACTGTATATGTATGTGCAGTATACATCATAGAAACTGAAGTCAATTCAAAGTTTAGCTTTCATTGAAAACTAAAGGCCATTCTGGTAACGTCTTCATCAAATATTCTTTATGTAATGCAGTATATCTTTACATGATCAAAACAACAACATCTGTGCAATGATCCTGTGGGTTGAAGCAAAAGGCCATGGTTACAGTACTCTAGCATCAACGTAAAAATGCACATCGTTTATAAACAAAATGAAAGAACTTCAAATGTTAAATGTTTTGAATGTGTATATTTTGTACNATAGGTAAGCAGCTTGGTGTGAAGAAATCAACTGTGGGAGCAATTATTAGGAGCCCCAGATCGAGGGAGATTATCAGTGGTCTTGTATGTCTTCCATTTTCTAATAATTGCTCCCACAGTTGATTTCTTCACACCAAGCTGCTTACCTATTGCAGGTTTCAGTCTTCCCAGCCTGGTGCAGGTATACAATTTTGTTTCTGGTGTCCTTTGACAGCTCTTTGGTCTTGGCCATAGTGGAGTTTGGAGTGTGACTGTTTGAGGTTGTGGACAGGTGTCTTTTATACTGATAACGAGTTCAAACAGGTGCCATTAATACAGTTAACAAGTGGAGGACAGAGGAGGCTCTTAAAGAAGAAGTTACAGGTCTGTGAGAGCCAGAAATCTTGTTTGTTTGTAGGTGACCAAATACTTCAGACTGTGATTTTCTGGATTTCTTTTTCTCATTCTGTCTCTCATAGTTGAGGTATACCTAGGATGCAAATTACAGGCCTCTCATCTTTTTAAGTGGGAAAACTTGCACAATTGGTGGCTGACTAAATACTTTTTTGCCCCACTGTATGTTCCTTTTTCAAATCAAACTACAAACTTCCGAAGTTTATTACCCATGCTACCCTGAGGCCAATTGAGTTTAATGAATTGTATGTAAAGGAGCCAGACATGCCCAAATGTTTTAAATACCCTAACTGCTTACTGGCAATAGCTCCTTTCTCTGTCCATTCAGAATCTATTAAGTCTAAAATCAATCATTCTTGGAACGGATCTATACAGAGACATTTTCATATTTTAACCGTTCATATTCATCTTTCTTCATTAAAATCACCACCACCCTCCTCTTTCAGCCTGTGTCTACCTCGTGTGAGCTCACTCCATTCAAAGTCATTTATTCAATCAATTTACTCTCTCTTGGTCTTGCTCTTCCCACTCTTTAACTCTTTCTCTCTGCACATCTCTCCTTCGTAATTCATCATTAGGAGAGACATGTTGGATTATAGAGCCCTTTCTCTCTGGGGAGACACTCTGCACATTCAGCAGTGAGTAACAAGGGAAAAGGTGACTTCATTGTTACACTATTTACTTAAAACATGATTTTACAACATTCACTGCTCTTAAATAATAATAGCAATATTACATTTGATTTAAAAGCACCTCTCAAGTCATTGGATGGTATACAGATAAAGCAGTTAATACACATTAAAACAGTGCGTGTGCTTTTGAGTCATCAGGGAGCCAGTAAGCTATTAATTGTCACAATGGATTATGTTTCCAATAATAGATTAACTATTACAATGGCTGATGAGGTAAGCAGAGTACCAACCTGTCTTATATAAACACCAATTAGTGTTTATGACTGCATGAAGCGGGAAGGGACTCTTACTCAACCCTTATTATATTATACAAAGTAAGAGCCCACAGAGCAAACAGTGACCCCTCAACTTCACCAGTCCACTGTGATTGGACACTATTTACTTCTAATCCCTGTACCTCTACAACATACATTATAGCACTATGTTTAGCCAAATCCCAGCCGTTGTGTGAAATGCCACCATGGTGATGTCTCACTCTGATGTCGCAAGCCTAAAATGTTGTTTTATTTGAAATAACTTGAAAGTCTAAAGCTCAGTTTTAGTGACCCAAAGAGTCTTTTCGTTGTGGGAAAAAAGGCCAAAATGGATAATAAAATCCATCTTTCATAAAAAAGACTGTTTGTGTGGACTAGTCCATTTTTTGAACAAAGGTGGAAGGAAAAAACTGGACTCAGCGAATACATGCTAGAGATTTGATTTGACTTAACTGACTCGCAGTCAGAATAAAAGTGTGGTTGTCAGCAGGAAATGTTCACAACTGTGTAGAAAAAGCTCACAGAGACATATCATGGAAGCTCTACTAACAACCTTAGTGTGTAGATCTTGTGTAATACTGTGTGTGTGTTGTGTGTGTGTGTGTGTGTGTGTGTGTGTGTGTGTGTGTGTGTGTGTGTGTGTGTGTGTGTGTGTGTGTCTCCTACCTGTTAGACTTGAGGTTTTTGAGGCGAACCTCCAGGTCATTCAGCAGGTTGACCTTTTTGCTGCACTGAGAACAGTAGACATCCATGGTTTCACCGGTGTAATGCTGACGCACCTTACGAGGAGTCTGGCCGGCACTGAAACACGCACAGAGAGAAGTTTTATTTGCTGATACAGCCTTTTTCCAAATGTAACCAGCTTTACTTGCATATGCATGTCTGAATATACAACAAGTGAAAAGTGAGGCCTATGCAAAAACATGTGGCCGACGCCAAGGCACTAAGACAATTGATCTGGCTGTCCACTATATACTGTGTATCCACTGTATAAGAGAAATAACAACTACAACTAAATCAGACCATCTATGAGATGACAAACTATTTTCTGAATATTTGAATCCAGAAATATTACTTACATTCTCTTCTTAGATGATTGTGTTACAGTATGGAGGGAAGGTGCTGATTAAATCATGACAAAAAAAACCCTGAATTTACACACGCTGATTTTGTTATTGTTTCCGATATCTACCTCAAAATCCAATCATTTTATCACAGCGCATTGTATGTGCTTTGAAAGTCAACAAAGTAGAGGAATCCACATTTCAACCAAAAACATTCAAAATATTTGGTATAGGGCACTTTACCAACATTTGCGAGAGAACTTTGAACTCACATTGTACTGTAGTTATCCAAAATTATTTCCCATGCTGAGTTGTCTAATACTTCTTGTAAATCCAGGCCTAATTTTTTATTTAAATCTCCATGCCATGTGAGTGCTGTCTGCTTGGTATGCGTGGAAGGAACATGGAGCAGTATAGCCAGTCTATCAGCCGAGAGACTTAATCCCATTAAACTCGAGCTGTTGATGAATATTAATGTGGCCTTAAGGGTAAGAACTCCTAAACTACACTTCTACAGTCAAAACGCAGAATAATATGAGTCAGTTAATGGTTCTGCAGAGTCCATAATGTTTAACAGAGTTGTATCTACAGAAATGAATCAATGTCAAATAACCTGTAACATTTCATTTTAAGAAGATATCATTTTTTTTATGATGTACACAGAGGTGGTCATACCTTGGCACCTCTCCACATCATGAAGAAAAATGTCTCCCTCTAAAGTATCTCTCTTACCTGGAGGGAACAGATGAGCCGAGGTCTGAGTAGCCGTTGGTTCGAGTCTCGTCGTCCGGGCAGGGGCTGCTGGGAGTGTAGTCTGGTTCGTCCCCTTCCCCGTAGTCTTCAAACTGCTCTTCGTTCAGAGAAGCCGAGGATCGTGTTGATAAGTCGGAGGTCACTGAGGCGCTGGTTTGACCACCCCTACAAAGTACAGAATTAGTCAGTTAGCACTAGTCATAGAAAAAGAAAAGAAAATGCTACTGTGAACATAACAATCGGACCTTTATTGGAAAATAATAATATTATATTTGAGTCGCACACAGAATTTTAGAAAGCTGAATAAGAACCGACTTTTTCCACATGAATATTGGTCTCTTTCAAGATTCAAGGCTTTATTGCAGGGGTGGGAACCTTTTTCCTCTCAAGGGCCATTTACATTTTTTCAATATCCTCTGAGGGCCGTACAAATTATTGACCTCTGCTTAAAAATACTAAAATCACAGCCCATTCATTTCGCCTTTCTTTCATGCTATGCAAAGAAAAAGCAACCTCTTAATCCAGATATATTACCGTGCACGGTTGTGGCATGACCACCAAAACAGAAAGATATGGACACAAGATGTGTGCAAATGTATTTAGTTTCCTATCCATGTGGACATGATTTAAAGTGGACCTGTCATGCTATATTTGAATAATATAGTGTAGGACCATACCTATATAAGGCATATTTATACTTTTTATTTTTCAAAATACCAAACAGATCATGCATTTTAGCCATTCCTCATTTCGCTCAATTTAACACTGTCTTTTCATGGGCTGATTCTGTGAGAACAGCACCATCTACAGGCCTGGCATATGTACTACAGCGTCTCCAGCGCTTTCGAACGGCAATGGGCAATGTCCGTGGCTGTCTCCTCCTGATTGGTGGAGTTGGCCCAATAGCCGTAGCGCCACTTCTGTGACGTCAGAGAAGTGTTCAAATCTGGATCAGTCTGTATCAGATCCGTTGCAGCCCCTTTTTAAGAGATTTGGGTATGGAGGAAAATAGAGAGGGTTGTGTTTTCTGACACTTGGTGAGTTCCCTGGAACACCGGGGACACATACTCATGTATAAAAGAAGTACAAAAGTGCATTTTGCATGATAGGTCACCTTTAAGTGGGGGGGACCTAACCTCCTCTAGGGGGGTCCGGTGGCATGCTGCCTATGGAGTCTATTTTTATATAACATTACAAGATTATTTTTATTACATTATTTGCTTATTGTGCTCATTGTATGTGCTGTGACTTTGGAATAAATGGACCCAATCACCCCCCCCCCAAGTTTTGATGGGGTGGACAGGAACGAAGGGAAAAGTTACATGAGAAAGTGTTTAGCTTGCAATATTGAAAGNGGATATTTGAGTTTTCTTAAGCTGTATGCCATAATCAGCAATATTAAAATAATAAAAGGCTTGCAATATTTCAGTTGATTTGTAATGAATCCAGAATGTATGACATTTTTGTTTTTTTAATTGCATTACAGAAAATAAAGAACTTTATCACAATATTCTAATTTTCTGAGACAGTCCTGTATAACTTGCATCAAGAATTATCTTAACTTCATTTATAGTTATGGTTTTATTGGTTTATGGCTGTATTCTTTGCAGTGTTTTTTCTAGATAACAAAAATGTAAGTTTTGATTTATGAATGAAACTAAATTAGACACCCGTAGGAAACCCCCTCTGCTGATGGTCTGGCAAGTTCAAAGCCATCTTCTCCCTCTCCTTACATTCAGATCGATGGAGCCCTGAAATGCATCGTCATCCACATAATTCTCCGCTGTGCCAGAAGGGCAGATTAATGATTTGTTCAGCACTAAAGCAGTATCGACGCTCAGCACTCAGCGTAGAGTAAAGGGGGGGGGATCGAGAGTCTATCTTCTTAATGACAACACTGTTGTTGTCCAGCCTGATAAAGAGTTTGGGTCTTTGATGACCTACAAATTCAACACTAACCTCCATTGAATTGGCCTTTTAGTGAGTAATTAGTTCATGTCACTGCCTGTCACTCTCTAGGGGTCTGCATGTAAACTTTTAGTGTATACAACAGTTTACTAGCACTGTGAGCATGTAGACAACGTCAAGTATGTGGCAAAATATCAAGCCACTGAATAGGACTCATTTGACACATTTTGCCCATGCATTCAAGATTCAAAGGTTTTAATGTCATATGCACATAAGCTACAGTGTAGAAATGGCAATACAAATATTATGACCCGAGCCCCTCCAACTATCGACATATATAATAAAATACAAAAATACGAATAAAAAATAACGCAAGAAGTCTATATGCACATTCATAGACTATGATACAAGAACAGAATATAAAATTACAAATTGTACAGTAAGATGAAATTAAATACGGTTCATTACGGTGATAACTATTTAGATAAATAAGTAATAAGTAAATTGCAAGATGAAACTCCCGTATAAAGTCAGTTTCCTACGTACAACAACACAACACACCTGACTTCCTCAGTATTACCTTTACTTTGTGTTCCTCTGTGTATGTCCAAGGGGAATTTGCATCATGTATTTGCCTGCAGCTCACGTCAGAGGAAATAAGATTACCGGTACCAATGAATGCGAGCAGGACTTTGAGATAAACGTTTGTTGCCTCCCACTCACCTGTTTTGTTCCCAACCTTTTATACACTAACAGACAAACAGACTTCTACGACTCTATGTCTCAAGCAACAGAGTAATTGCAATTTTCTCCGCTCTACCATCTGTCTCATAATTTCCCTCCACCTCCACTTGACCAGTGACAACATCTCTCCCTGTTTGGTTTCCTGTAGAGAAGTGTCCTTGCTCTCTCTTTTTCTGTCCCTCTATCTATGTCTCCTCCATTTCTAATGCAGCTGCAGTGGATTTAAATAATAAATGTTTCCCTGACAGCCTGGCTGTGTGCCAGACTCTTCCTTACTCCGTCTCGTACATAACTATCCATGCTTTACAACTGTTGCACAACAACTGTACCTGGGACATCTGGGCTAACATTCTTTATGTCTACACTGAAGGAGTCTGACCCATATTTTTCCAAGGAAAGTGTACACTTTTTAAGTCCCTCATGACCTGTAATGCATCTGTCATGTGTGAGTAATTCAGTGATGATATAGGATGTGTAGAAGCTCGTCTTTTAACACAGCACCTGGACAGGGCACTGCTAGGTAGGTCAGTGAGACAGGAAGAGCATTCACACTAGTGCTGCATGATATATCGTGTCGTGATGATAATCGCGTAATGCGCATGTGCGATATTCACATCGCAAGACGTGCAATTTTTTATTTTATCTTTTTAGGACGTGCGATATTAAGTAGGCAAATGAACTCAAACACGTCATGTTACAATTATTTTGCTGCTTGCTACAAAAAGAAAACTTGCGCGGCTCTCATGTCAGGGGTACTTCAGTGAGTGACATGCAGGCTCTGCATGCACACCAATCGCATTCCTTCTTGATCAGATCACAGCAGGATAACCGAGAAAGCTCAGCTTGATGCTCTGATAACTTAAGATCCAGAAGTCTGTGACTAAAATCCTTCATCCGGTTAAATATCGTTAAAAAAATACCGATTGTATAGCGTTAAAGTTCAAGAAAGGATGGTTTGCGGACAAAAAAAACTGTCTTTTCTTCAATTCCTGTATTTTTTTCATATCGCAATATATATCGCAGGGGAAGAAAAATATCGCAATATCATGCAGCCCTAATTCACACACATTTATGGCTATAGTCGTTGTTAACGTGCACTCACTGTTTACAGATTCATACAGTTTTACCTAAAAACACTCATAGACTAAAATTTACCAAAACCACACGCAAAAATCTCTGGGAAAAGGGAGACATCCATTTTCTTTAGTTTTTTTCATCTCTACATGTTTTTCTTCTCTGACTTAGCCTCACCTGGGATAGTGGAAACAAAAGCAGGTCAGACCCCGCAGCAACAGACTCACACAGATCCTATTCATTTGAGTTACCCCAGCATGCACGATGAGGAGAGTAATATTATAAAGCTGTTCTGTTTTTACTCCTTTCTCTTTCTAATCCATTGCCATTAATGTCGATCAAAGCTCAATAGAGTGTAACTTATCTTTCAGTGATTAATCTTCTGTCATGCATTTGGACTTATTTTGTTATAGTCTATGATTTGGAACTGTTAGATGTCATCACGTTGATATTTGGTAAACATTTTAGCAACTATGAATGTATTTTAAAAATGCTATTGGTGTGTGAAATACTACCCTGCAAAACAAATTCACTGTAGTTTAAAATGGATGTTGTATAACACATGTGTACATTGTACTTCTGAAAGGCTTCCTTGTCTCATAGATTCATTCACCAGATGAAACCTGCTGATAACGGGGCTGATTTTGCCCAAAACAAACATTTAAGGTTGATTAAAGTCATACTTGGACCAAAGGGTGATGTGAAGGCGAGTCAGGCTTCAGGGCAGGGACGCTACAGTTAAAAGCACAGCAGATCTTAGCGTCGCTGGTTCAAAGCCATCAGCAAGTTTTCTGCTGTTTAGCAGGCCATCTATGTGTGCCTGGGGAATCAAGCTACTCCAAACTGGATCATGTTTTGGCAGTTACTGCCCCAGGCTGATCTGCAGAGCAGGCAGGTACAGAGGGAGGCCTACTGTAAACACACGTACCACAAACACACACACACACGCACTCCTCACTTCATGACCACAGTTTGACTTTTCTTATCAGATCAACTTAAAATGATGGGCAGAGTGCAAAGTATGATGTCACTGTCCATCAGCGCTTCTTTGCCTGAAACAACAGCTGTCACAAATGTTTTAATGTCCCGCCTAAATGATGACACATGTGCTTCTGTTCTCCCAAAATTGTTACTTTACTGTTTTTAAAAAGAAAATTGGAGTGTTCCTCTGAATAGAGAAAAAATAAAGCTCTTTAAAAACTTTAAACCGTGCTAGACAGCCCAAATTGGTATATTTCTTAGTTTAGCAAAGACACAATGTAGTTCAAGAGAATCAAGGCATTAATACCTTTATAGATATTTCATGAATATTATCACTTAAACTAGTAAATGTTGTTGAATTATACATATTCAACTTTTATTTTCTTTATTTGTTTGCATTGCATCTGTAGTTTTCCTGACTTTTTCCTCCCCTGTTAAGTGGGGTTTATTCATGTATTT